TAACAATTAAATTTTGGAGTGGGACAGCAAGTTGTGTGTGATTAGAGCAGATCCGATTCTGTCTGGTGTCCTAACCCCCCCTCCTCCCTCCCCTCACGTCACGGTTCTGAGCTGAACTCTTCTCCGCTCTTGCTTCGGTCTCGTGGCACCGTTTGAAGCACCTGAAGGTTTCAGTTCTCTGTTGTCCAAATAAGGACAGTCCATCCATGTTTTATTAAAGTAAAGGGACTGTCTTTTTGACATTTTGATCGCTATTGTTGTTTTGACAAATTAGCGCCATTGTTTTGAAATGTGACGTATAATGTGAATAACACATCAAGCATTTCTGTCTTTGCATTTTTAATTTATTTTTTACAGTAAGCTTTTTTTAATTATTATGTCTGAAATGTAGCAGGAGTTCAGACACCTGCTGATGTGCGTGTGCTGTGTAGAGCTGTCTGGTGACGCTGTGCGTAACATGCACTATCCACAGGACATTTATTTATTCTGTTGAATAAATGATTGTTTCGGTTTCGGGGGTCTGAGAGGAGGAGAGAGGGGGTGTTTTTCATGCGCAGCCCCGATGAGTAGGGACAACTTAAAGAGGAGAAGGAGAGAAGGACTGTGAACCTCTGCATAAATGTGATCATCTGTCCCTCCGTCCTCACCCACCCCACCCCCCGACCTAGCTCCTCTCCTGCTCCTTGAAGGAGCATGTAGCTGGTTCGCCGCGCATGCGGTGGCTGGAACATCCACTCCACAGTCTGGGTCCGCCAGGCTAAGGGCAACATCTCCTCTCGTCGTATTTTTAATAAATAATCAAAATAAAAATGTGCGATGACTTTGGACTTTTAGGGGCAGAGTTGATGGATCCGAGCAAAGAGTTTCCGGAACAGAACAAAATGAGAAAGTTCCCATATCTTGTTCCAGCAGGATCCAGCTCAAATTAACCACTGATTAAAACCCATACTTTTGTGTAAAAAAAAATTTTTTCTCTGCAAAACGAAGCTGAGAACTTGTTTGCTGATTTTTTTTATTTTTATTAAAAGCTTTGTGTGAAAAATGTTATGCAAAAGAGCTCAAACCACACCGAGCGGCCACCATTTTTAGAATCGAAAAAATGGAGAGACAGCCCATGTCACGTCAAGGGGCCTCCCTCCCATTTTTATTAGAGACACGCAGCTTGCTCCCTCACTATCCATGCTTTGGTTCAAACGGTCTTATACTACCATCCAGTGGTCGAAAAAGGTACGACACACAAAAATTTACCAACATTTATTCTCAAGTTTGACAATTACTAATTATTGTCACTTTTCAAACAATATTATCGTTTATCTGAATAATTTCTGAGACAATTAATTGCCCAGCAAAATTTGTTATCGTGACACGCCTATTTACCATTGGTCTGTTTTGTGTCAAGATGGTAAAAAAAAACAAGTGAAGATTGTGTTTAATTGTAAGAGATATTGTCATCGCAATATTCAACTATAATACTGTATTGCAATTGCAAGTTTTTTTTTATATTTATTTATTTATTTATTTGGATAAAGTTCAAGGCTTGGATGAATTTGGAAAAGCCCAAAAATATCAGAAAATAGTTTCCGAAGCCCCACATAAATGCATTTCAAAGCAGTTGCAGCTTAGGGCACCACGGCTCATTTTCCAGATTATGTTAAAGTAGAAAATGGAAAGCTTTGTGCGTTGGGGAGAAAGTACCCAGAGGGTCATCTAAAAGTAAGAGTCATTTAGGTTTAATACATAATTCATGTGACCTTTTCACACATCCTGTGCCTTATTTTTTCATATTTTTATTTTGTAGGCAGAGATACGCGTAGGTTGCTATAGTGTCGGGGTGCCGGGGAAGTGAAAATTGTCAACAAAGAGGTTTTTTGTGACTAAAATAGCAAGAATTTCCACCCCTTTATTGCAAGTGACAGTCGCATGGATAAAAGCTTGTTCTGTCAGAACACATTGTACATTTAAATTCTACTTTAGATTATTATTTAATGTTCATAAATACTGTGACATAAAATGCAAAGACGTGTCGTCTACCTTGCAAATATGTAGTGTGGTTTTGTTCTTGAACTGCTAGTTTTTGATTAATTGCAACATATAATGGGGGAGTTTCCATGTGTGTGTGTGTGTGTGTGTGTGTGTGTGTG